CTTGAAACAATTCACTAAAAGTAGCAAACAAATTTTCCTGTATCGAATCGTTGTTATCACGTACAGACCAAATTTCGTGACATGTGCGAAATAAGCATCGAATAGCCGCCAAAGAGTACCTACAGAGTAAGACTCGACTGTGTAACTTCATACTTTTTACACAGTTGTAACACCTTTTTCGACACGTGAGCCCTTGTACTGGACGCGGTGGTCATTGGGAGGAGGACTCAACCGGACAAAAAGGAAAGAAAAATCCACGTGCACTCAATCTGAAGAGGAGGACGAGAAGGGAGGCGGGTGGGGGGTGATGTTGGTTGGACAAACACTCAATTGATGATCGAACAAACATGCCAGCCTTTTCCGGCTCGTTAGCGTCCCGACAGCCGGCGTTTGCAATTTACAGCCAGCACACGTGCATGTTACGGGCGATTAAAGAGATATAATCGAATCGGACTTGTCAGCGATAGGGATCATTATGCGCTAACGTGTTGCAGCGGCTAATGGGGAGGATTTTTGTCTCAATTGTGCTCCTTGATGACACGGTCAATCTGAAAAAAAGTGCAAAAATATTGTTTTTGAGTTAAATTTCTTAATCAAACCATGAATCGGAAGGTTTTCCAATTCCAATCTCAATCTCTGCCTTCATCGTTTAAACTGAAGTTATAAACAGTGGTATGTTGGAGTTGTACTTATGTCATGGCCACGGAATCTGATATAACTATAGAATATACATACTTATGAGAATCATTTTTTTGCTGCATTATTTTGTTGTCATTGTCTTTTTTTGAAGTTATAAGTGTGAAGTATGGAAAATTTTTAAAAGATCCAATTATCATCTCTTTACGTATCATTTGCATTTTATTTTCGTGTATAAAAATAACTCAAACTTTATTTATCGACCACGTAAGGTTTTTACCTATTCATTTTAAATTTTCATAAAACTTTTTTAAGAAATGCATTTAAATCTACAATNAATTATTTTTTTTTGTAAATCCAAAATTTAAGAAATTTCTAGAGGGCAATAAAAAAATATCCAGTCGAAGAGTTCTTTTAAAGCCTAACACAATAAGACCAGACAATCAAGTTATTGATGGATATCCCAATGAAAAAAAGAGCGGAAACTCGCTGAAATAACGAATTTGGTTTTACACGAGACTCCATCGTTCCATGCCTAAAACACACAATCCAATTAACCGATTGCCTCCGTGTAACTCGAGCTATTGACATTTTTCAAGTAAAAAAAAAAAAAAAAAAAAAAAAGTACTAGCCGTTTAATTGACGAGCACATCGAACGCAGTGACAAACTGTTTTGTGGGCTAAAATATCGGACGTATGTTTCCACAGCGAATACATACAACTGAGAAAGCATCGGTAAGGGAAGCAGAAAATAATAAAGCTGCCGATACGTCGAGTGGAATTCTCGCGTTTGAAAGGGAGATAAAAATAATAATTCCGGGGCTTGATTATTTTCACGTATTACTCGATGGCCTCGCTCTTTCGGGTTTACTGTGCGGTAATTGAAAGCGTTCATAATTGATTGATGGGTACGCGATGCCTGAACTCTTTTTTTTCAGCCTTCCGAGTTCGATCCTTCGACAGCGTGGATTTTTGTGTGGTTACGTGATATCCTAGAATTCCTGGTATTTGTGATTCCAATTTTTCAGGCCGCGCCAAATGAGAAGGTATCGAGTTTTTCGGCGTATACGAGAAAAATATGGTTTCAATTATTTCAAGGTTAAATATTGTTTTATTTTAGTACTTTTAGAACAATTAAAAAAAAAAACAAAAAAAAGAGATTCATACTCGCGGACAGTCTTGTCAAAATTTTAGAAAGTGTTGGAGTATTTTTAGTAATCAAACGAAGCCAAACAAAGTATGAACAAACTCCTTACGAGTTTGAAGTAAGGTACAGTCACCTATTATGAGGTACTTTTAAAAGCGTCTCTTATTATGATACATCCCCTTGATAAATAATAATTATGGCTTTAACTATACAAAAAAATTAGTTTGTGAATCACTATAATATTATCTGTATAAATCAACAAAAATATTTGTTACTTTTGAGCACCATAAAATGGAAAAAAAAAAATTTTTTTGTAAAGTACTGTCTCACAATTGCTAACATAACCTCAAAAATGTGGTACTCCTATTATGAGACAAGGTTAAATCGATCATATCACTAATAAAAGGTGTCAGTATTACTTTTTTATTAAATGTATAGATTTAATTGCATGCAATATGCTTGATACTCTTAATATTATTTCATGTCCACGAGTACACGTTTAAATAACATGCGTTTTCTCATGAATAAGTGCTGTCTCATAATAGGACAATCCAAATCAATTTTTCAGCTGTTTCATAATAGGGACCTTTTCAGCATGGAAATATTTATTTGTAAACATTTTTTCTCAAGTCCTAATTAAAAATAAAAATTATGAAAATGTCTAGAAAAGTCTAGCGCTCCTAATGATACACAAACTAAACGAATATAAGTTTATAGAGACTATATATAAATTGTAATAGAGAAAACTACCCCAAAAGTGTCTCATAATAGGTGACTGTACCTTAATCAAAACCACATAAAACGACTGGATGCAGGTTTATTACAAAATTTAATAATTATAGTGGAAAACTTATAGTCTAAATGCATATTATAAAATAAAAAAAAGAGTTTCGAAAGGTAAGTAAATTATTTTGCCAACCAATAAAAACATTCAATTTTCCCAACACTAGTACATCATATTAAGTACAAGAATTTTTTTTTAAATACTAAAAAAAAATATTCCGTAGTACAAGGAAGTACGTAGAAGCCTTTGAAAGGTGCAAAACTAGAAAGAATGGAGGGAAACAAAAGGGGGAAAAAGAACTAAAATAAATTGAAAGAAAATTGAACCAGCTAAACGGAAGAAGAAAAAAAAATTAAGTGGCACGTTGGCCAAGGAATCCAAACTTCTGGCGTCGCGTTTCTTTTGATATCGTGAGAGAAGTCGACCTGGAATGAAAGCCCTTGATTTTGACGATTTCTTTGATTTTATATTGCACTCTATTATAGGTCTTGCGTTTTTTACGAGAATAGAAATTAAATTGTTAAAGTACAAAATGTTAAAATAAAATATTTAGTGGGTATTAAAACATATCTAGTGTTTAATCATCAGTTCTAAGTGCACAACGAATGAGTTTATCTCTAACACACAAGTTTCTTTATGTTAATAATGTTTTTATTGGATGTGACTTAATTTAATTGTGATTTTTAAAAAATTAAAAAATGTGTTTTTATTCAAGAAACAATTTTTGTTGTTACAAAAGATTCCCATCTTTTAATGATAGTTAATTGTTTTTTGTTTCTTTTCTTGTAGTTAAATAGTAATTTAATAATTGATAAAAAATCAAAATAAAATATGAATGATTTTAAAATGGTAAATAAAGCCTAATGGACGTCATTTATTTGATAATTAACTGATAAGAGTTTTGTGAAAAAAATATTATTTCAATGAATGTAACTAACGTCCCGTTATAAAAAGCTCATTCGCCACGAGAGTGCATGACTCGGTCAATTAGTGAAGATAATAGAATTAATTAAAACCATTTTCGCCAATTTTCTTTTACTCCAGAAATATTAATAGAGGAGGTCAAACACATGTACGTATATATTTACTTGAATTTGTGTGTGTATGACTTAACATATACCTAACTACGAACAAAAAAAAATGAAAATCAACCTAATTTCAACGGACCAAGTTGAGAAAACAGTCCAGAATCGCCTGAAAACCATAAAAGAAGACTACAATGAAAAAAGAAAAAAAAATTAAAGAGCCTGTTGCTTTATTAAAATAAACAAGTGAGAGAAAGAGAGCAAGTAATGGAGTGGGTTATAACAGAAAAGTCCAAACTTACGGACAATAGGAATAAAATTGACGTTCACCGCTGGCAAGAAGAGGCCCCAGCCCCAGCTGGAGCTTTCAATGTCCTCTCGACTTTTCTTTTACCTGCCTTTCTCCCTTTTCCGTTACCTCACCTCACGACTCATATACTCAAAAAGGTTATTATTTAAATCCCTTCTGTTTTCCATAGCTACTTACTAAACTGCCACGTGTCGATGGTGAATTAATTTTTTGCTCTGCCACGTTAGAATTTATGTGTATACTATGGATCACTAGCTACTCAATCGTATTAATTCTGTATTTTAATGATATTCATACAATATTTACGTTATTTTAATTTAAATGATCTTTAAAGTGTATATTACCAAACTTAAAAACAAAATAACTAGGTACAAGGAATTACCCATCAACGGTTTGTTTTACTAAGCTTTACACAAAAACTTGTTGAATTGTTTTCCTTTTGCTTACTTGAAACGTGGTGTTAAATGTTGGTTATTAATGAAGATGTATATATATATATATATATATTTATTTTTATTATAGTGATTTACGTCCGGCTCCTGGTGTCTAAGCTGCAGACTTAGATAACGGAACAGAAATTTGGCACGCCTCCCGCCCATGATGTCCAAGAGACAGAAAAACAGTCAATCAACCCACGAAGCAAACAACAGAGACGAATCGGCGAGACTTTAACGGTCACCCCATCCAAGTACTAACCGCACCAAATGCTGCTTAACCTCAGTGATCGACGGGACTGTAATTCTATCGCTGAGCCATCGTGTCGATATGTATGTATTTCTCACTCAAGATAACCTCGATATGTGTGGGTAAAAACAACAAAACAAACACGGAATGAGCCATGTTAAAAAATCCTAGTAATCACATTTTCTTGAGATTTCTTGTAGATGTCTTCTAGAATCCTAATGTCCATCTGAAAGACATCTTTGGAGAATTTTACCTCCGAAACTCCCCAAAGGTATCTTACAGATAGACATTAGAAGTCTATAAGACATCTACAAGAAATTTCAAGAAAACGTGTTCACTGGGATTATAATTAAGACTCACGAAATACATTACAATAAATTTAATATTGTCTAGCTCACATATATTACAAATAATTCAGTTATACGCGTAATAATCTCGCTTTTGTCGTAATGTGGAGTTCATCATAGTGTTTATCCAGTCATGGAAGTAAGCCACTTCCGTGTACACAGTTGGATAGTCCAGAAGTCCACAGTTGCCTTCGCCGTAAATAACAATGCCAACGAGTACGCCATTCGTCACCAGAGGAGCCCCCGAATCGCCAGGGCACGCATTCTTATGGCTCATTCCGACGTATCCAGCACATATTTGACCTTCGTACAAACCACCGAATTTCCGGTAAAGCGCGTTGCACAACCTCTTGCTGAGCCAGGGAATCGTCAAAGCCTTCAACTGGTGTGGCTTGGTGTATTTATGATCCACGTGACCCCAGCCCGTCAAAACGGGTTTCACATTTGGTTCGTAGTCACTGGACACCACCTCCTTATTTATATCGATCGGCCTGCAAGTGTCGCTGAAGCTGAATGGGGGATTCACGCGGGCCAAGCCGATGTCGGACTCCGTGTTGTCGAACTCGTTGGTGCGATACGACTCGGGTACGATTACGTCGATTACGTCGTGAACGGTACCACCTTCCTCTCTGAACGAGGACCCAGAGCGAATTTTTATGCCACCCGCTATGTTATGCACGCAATGGGCAGCTGTTAAAACGTAATTTTTTGATGTTATGGCCCCATTGCAATCGCTTCCCTCGCGATCGTACTCGATGGCCACTTGGTAGGGATGCTCTTCGATTGTGGTATCGGTACCACCAATCAGCCGTTTTCTTCTGATGTTCGCGTGAACGGACGCTAAAAAGTGTACTGGAATCGAAAATAGGGCGTGGTGTACAGTAGTTTGAAGTTATAGCTTATGTCGTGAAAATAAAACTGATCAGCGTAGGTTTTATGTCAGATGAATTAGAACTAACTTATCTATTTTCCGTTTCAAAGTGAATTTGGATTGGGCATTATGGTGTCAAGTAAGAGAAAAATTGTAACATTGCGAATAAACGTTTCCGGTTTAATTTGATCTATTTGAACCATCATTGTTTCATCATTTAGTTATTTGGACAAATGAGTGCTTGATTTTTTATTCATACTTTGTTGAAACAAAAACACGAACTATTTACGAAGCATTAGCAAACAACGAAAATTTTAGAATCTAGATTATTTATTTGCAATCGATGACATATCAAACAATAGTATTTACTGACGTAAACTAAACGTAACTTAAGATGTAACACTTTGACACTTATATTGTGAGACAAAAATTTTAATTTTTATTAGTTTGATTAATGTGAATCAACAATTAACTATGCACTGTCGAAAAATTTTGTAATACTGGATAATTAACAATGAATTTATTATTTATCACAGCCATTTTTCTAATTAATATTGCAAAAAAAAATTTTGATTTAACTTACTATCGGTTGCGAAAATGGCAACAAGTATACTTCGAACCAACATCTTGATTGCAATAAGTTACACTATTTTATCATAGTTCACTTGGCTTATATAAGCACTAGGTAATTCTGATACTGGATATTTTTTGCACTTGAGCAAAGAGTGCATATTATAATATCAATTTTTTTCAATACTGTCTGTTGTGTTTTCTAACAATCTTTGTAAAATTATGTTTACAGAATATTTGCAATTGAAATTTATATTGTGATATGAAATATACACATTTTTATGAATACCTGAATATTCTGATACGTACAACTATGCGTAATGAAATAATATAGACATTATATAACCAAAAAATTTTAGTACCTCGGAGAAATCATCTTTTTGTTCATGTCGAAAATATCTTTTGTCGAAAGACTCGATTTTTTTATTGAATAATTATTTGAATAAAATAAAGTTTTTGTTTATAACATTAGATGATAAACTTACTCCTAGTCAATTTTTTGGACAGGATCTCAATTATGGTCAAAAGAGATGACAAATAAATTATATTTCTAAAAAAAGTCGTAATTAACTGACTTGAATTTTTTGAAACAGAGGATAGAAATACTTTGACGATTTAAAATTTATTCAAAAAATGACTCTATCTGAACATCTAACATCTTTTTCTCTGACATGATTCACTCATTCGTAATTTATGTTTAATTAGCTATGTATACGAGTGTTAATTGCATTGATTTGACTTTAATATAAAATATCGTAGACAACGGTGATACTTTAGAGTCAAAAAAGTGTCAACACGAAAATTGATCCACAGATTAAATTTGCATTTTAAAAGCTTCCCAAAATTTACTCATGTAAAACACAAGTGTTACGAACTTTGGAAGTCACATATCTTTTGGCAGTGCGAATAAAGATAAGTACCTACTGATTAACATCTGAAACGAAAGGGAAAATGATAATAAATCCAACACCTCGTTAGTATTAAAAAATCAGGCACATAAACGGCGCTCAAAAATCTTCCATTTTTCGCGAACGCGAATTTTCAATGATAAAATAAAAACAACAAGATACAAATCGCGAACAATAAGGCACAACTATCAGCATCAAAGTACGTGAAATCCCTTGCCCAATGCTCTGTATAGGATTGCAATTGATTAGTCAATTATTTCTTCTGAGTACATAGACCACAGTGATAATCCAATTACTGAGTCGCATACACACTCATACACGAGCTTGCGATCAATACTCTTTGGATTTCCTCGGCCCACGTGTGGTTACAAAGCACATTAATTATGAGCTTGTTCATAGTACGAATTCTCCCTTTCATTTACTACATAGTACGGCCTTTGTGTCTTATGCAGTAAATAAATGTGTTCTAGGTTTGGAATTGTCAGTACCAATGGTATCTGTACATGTGAAAAGCTATTACATTTTTAAAAATCTTATTTTCCTGCCCACCCATTATCAACATTGTCCTTAATCAACTTCCAATGAATACTCATCTCATCAAGTATCTGCTGAATCTTAAGAATTCGATGATACACTTGAAATATCCTGCAGATAATTGGTACTGGTAGAAGCAATCCTAACTACTGAATTCAAAGTAATAATGGTTATATTCGAATGTAAACTGTGGACCAGCAAGACTTGTGACATTATAACTATTGGAAAACGACTTTGATCATCAGAATGGTTGTTTGTTCTTGAAACTTATGTACTTATCAGCTTGGAAGAGCATGACTCATTCCCTTTATCGAGTACGATGATTTATAATATAAAAATAATAATTCTTAATTTGTCTTCAAGCGTAACTTGCCTTTGTGACTGCACTTTAGATACTACGGAAAGTATATAATCAACACAAAATTCACTCAATAAGTAAGTAGAGGCTTTATTTCAAGATCATGAAACATGACTCATTCATATTTTTTACAATTTCAAAGAAAGAAACTGGAAAATTCTGTCTGCATCACTGCACTGGTACGATACACCAAAAAAAATTTTACGGATCCTCTTCTGTCACTAAGAGAGAAAAAACTTAGAGGATTTTACTTTTCTAAACTTTCATTTTCTTTACAAATACTTTCTTTTTCGGATTGAAAAATGTGGTCAAATTATTAACATTTTTTGGCATGATCACATATATAATATCACTCGGATTTATTGGTATCGACTGGGGTGGATTTTTTTTGGCGATCCAAATTTCCCCACCTGTAACTAAAAGTTTTCATTTGCATTGTGATATTATGGAAACGGATACGCGCAAGTAAAAAACTTAGTTACATAAAAACACAATTTTTTAAAACTAAATAACCATCACAATTACATAGACCTATAATAATAAAAGGTTCGATGTGTTCCGATGGACTAGACTTACCCCTTCTTACAAATTTTTTGCATAAATTACAACCTTTAGTCAGTATTTCAATGTCAAGTTTTCGTTTGTTACTCATAATTAATATCAATCAATTTCTGTCTTAGGATAATGTAATTTTTGTGAATTTATGGCTACTAACATCAAGACTTGGCATGCTAATTCTAACTAAAAATTTGTATGTTCAAATTGTACTTACACTCGCGATGATTATGTTTCTTTTTTGCAACTCTTAACGCTCTCCGCCTTGATCTTTCCCAGTGTTCAGTGAAACTAGGGTTGCATGATTCCAGTTCCATTGCCACGCTTCTAATGTATTCGAGGTTTCTTCTTTGTTTTTTTCTTGAACAGGCGTACTTCGGCATGACATGCTAAAAGCATCAAGTTAAATTTACTGATTCCATAGAAAAAGGTTTTAGTTGAAAATATATCATTTATCTACCCAGCAATCTGATGATTTGAAAAGTTTGACACTTTTCCGGTTGCATTTCATCTGCAAAAAATCATAAGGTTATGTTTAAAACTGCAATTGCATTTTTAATCGACATCCTTACATTTGACGCGATGTTATTGAACTGTTGACGTAATGCTCTCAATTTATCATCCTGCAGAAAAAAGTGACTAACAATCTTAAACAATTAAAATGATGAAATTGATAAATTAAAAAAAAAACTTGCTTCAAGATTCTTTGCCTGCAAAATAAATATTTGTACTATTAATGTCATTAATATTCAGCAAAAGTAGAATAAATAGATGTCACTTACAGTTCTAGCTGTTACCGTCATTGAAATCAACAAAATAGTTAACACTCCACAAGTAAGAGAATTTTTAAACATAGTTATAAGTGTCAAAACTGAAAAATAGACTTGATCTGCCGGACAATTTATGTTGTCTCTATGCAATATTAAAAAAAAAATATAACCAGCTACCTCAAAAACTTCATAGTCAACCTTACACACGAGCTTCAAGAGCACTACTATTTTTTTTTTCTTTTTTCGAACTTGTCTACTTACTTTTGATATAAAAATACCACTTGTTCACTTTATCTAGTAAAAGTTAACAACTTATCACTTAGTCTCTACATCAATAAAAATATAATAAAACATGACATCAAGGGAAAAATACATTGAGTTACTGTAAAAAAACTTTTTGAAGTAAGCTCCAACACCGTTATAAGGGAACCTGCCTACAAGTTTAACACTACTTACTTAAATCGAAAGGAAATAGAGAAGCAGAAAAAGAAAATGAAAAAATAAAGGATGTCACATAATGTCAATAGGTACTGGATTTCAAATGGCACTATTAGCGCCAAATACTTAAGTAAAATCACATCAGGTAATATTTATTAACATGCACGAGAAGGTAAGTTGTTCAGAACCTAGTTCTTGTTACTTTAGAATGTATGGTAGTTTGGTACAAATTTCATGTTTTTAATGAAAAACTGTTTGGGGTTTTATTTTTAAGTTAAAACGAATGATCTGATTATGTGAGTCATGTATTTATACATGTATAGTTGAAGCTTATATACTGAAGTAAAAATAAAAATGACTTTTTTTTATTGTAATAGAAAATATTTTACTAAAAATGCATTTCTAGTTTTCCCATTTTTAAGTTTTAAAAGTTTTCTACTTGTACGTTAATCAAACGTTGTGTACTCATAAAATATTTCAACTAGTTTCTAACATAAACTAACGCAGTTAATATACAGTTTGATATATCGCAAAATATGTATAAAAATAATTGTTCCCACATTATCATAGTAATTACGACGAATCACATATTTGAGAGACAAATAAAGTAGTATGTAATTGAATTAAATAGATTTGGTGAATTAAACTCGATTGTTTAGCTTGTGCAATTTAAAAAACTAAAGTATTAAAGATAAACTCTTTTGTAATACTTATTTTAGAAACAAGTGACATCTGGTACGATTTATCTATGTATGGAGAAAAGAACTGCCGTAACTTTGTCGTGAAACTACCATAAAGTTGAGACACTACGCTGGTCATGATTTTTGTTATAGTTAGCTTGAGTATAATTTTAACCATAAATTTGTTCTTAAAAATTTTGTATTCGCACATTGTCTTAAGATTACCGTGGTTTCGTGTTGAGAATGACTGAATTCTTTTTCTCCTAAGTACTTTATTTAATCATTCTTTAATTGCAAACTATTTCACATTAAGATTATTTAAGATTATTTTAACTGTATGAATTGTTATAATCTAAAAATAATTAACCTTAATTATCTACGTTCAATACGAATTATTAGCATCCTCTCAATCGTGCTCATGATTATTCATTCTTACAGTATGCGTCTGTGTGAAATTAAAATATTATTGAAAAAAACCTTTTGTGTGTAATATAAAGCACAATAATTATTTGAAGTACAATATATTTTCATATTGATTATAGTGGTAAGAAAATGAAAAGTCTAATGACAATAGTTTGAATAATTTAAGAAATAAAACTCATTCTTATAGAGTGTATGATTAAACAAAGTTGATTACAACTTTGTGCTACTAACTAAAGTTGGCAAAAAATAAGTATGGATACTGTAATTACGGCATTAAATTTATGTATTTTAATAATTATTAATTGTTAAATACAGCATTTAGGTATTTATGAACTAATTTATTTATAGAACGTGTACTTTTTTGTAATTAATTATAACCCAGGAAAAACTAGTAAGTCTACTTTATGCCATGAATTTTGTTATTGTATTTATAGAGCATGACTATTACAGTACAGAAAACAGGATTCCCAAATGTTTGTTCACTAATAAAAAAATATACGTATAAAAAAATAACCATGTATATTATTTGATTATATTTAAATATTCTATTGACTAAAAATAAGTGTTTTGTTGTCTTGCTTCAATTGTATCACTTAATAAATACATAAGGTAGGTAGCTCAAAATAGATACAGTGGTTTAGTTTTCTAGAGCAATTACTACATCATACTTTCTAAACGTGATTCTTCATAAAGTATTCACGTTATAACTATTATAATATATACAATAAACCTGATTTTATTAGCTTTAACGTAACACTTCGTTCTGTTTTATGTAAGTTGTAACTTTTCAAATCCGCTTGGTTAAAGTCGGCTTAAGTATCAAACAATTATTTTTTTCCGCCCTCGGGTGGTTTTGGGAGGCTGTTACTTCCTCGGGCGAAAAAGCAGTTTTCCGGAACTCGTTCGAAAAGTCTCCTTTACGAACCTCGTTACGTCCCTCGCCTTCGGCTCGGGCCGCAAACGTCTCGGTTCGCAAACAGAGACTTTTCAAACTCGTAGGAAAACTACCATTTCCTCGTTTCGGGCGGAAAGTGAGGGCCGAAAGTACTTTCAGTGCCTGTTTCACGGGTGGAAAGTAGTACCTCCTGCCCTAGGGCGGAAAGTACATTCCCGCTCGCAAATAAGAAAAATTAGTAAATTTTGTAGTTGGTGCTGTACATTATCAATATGTTATATGTGACATCTTTCAAATATCTTTCTTTATACATCTTCAAAACAAGACTTGATTGTTTCATGAAATTCTATAATTAGTATATTTTGTATATAATTTCTTAAGAAAAAATATAATATTACAATAAGGGAGTATTATATCTAGGGCTTTAGTATTATATCTCTGATTGCCATTTTTTGATACTCATACTCTCATTCCACCAAGTTTATTTTTTTTTCGGGAGATTAGATTAATTTAATTTATTTTTTTTTGTTCGGGAAATGGTTGTAAATTTTTTTTAATCGAACGATCAGTTGATTTTTTGGACGAGGGGAGGGCTCCGCCCCCTGGACCCCGCACAACCTTTGATGCGAACTTTCGTTTATTAACAATTAACTCTTACTTATTTAAAAAATTCCCTACCTTACCGACTACTTTTTTAGACTTTATTTTATAAAAATGAAATCATACTCAATTTTAAATAAGTGATGCAAAATACAAGTTACCGTTCTTCTTCATGACATCTCAATCAATAAACATAGTTTTATATATACAACACAATTTATAAATAGGGAAGTTCACTAATATCTACACTGCAGTCAAGATATTCTAGCATACCAGCTTTAAGTTTTTGTTTGTACTCAACTATTCTAGTCAATACACTATTCGAAACACCTCCGTTATTTTTTAACAGAGGTTGCAATATCTTAGAATTCATTTAATTTTAAGGTGTTGATATTTATTATATTTTTAAACAAGAAATTAACTGTGTTAAAATATTATAAGTGTATAAATTGTTCATTACATATTATTAATTTTGTGTATGTTCAAAATAATTTATAAATGCATAAAATTGTAAAAATTCTCATCATTTATCTAGAAAAATAAGCTTTGTGTACATTAGATAGACGTTGAATAAATATTTTTCATTTTTAATCCTATAGTTAAATTTCTATTTAAGTGATCATTAACCAGCAAAATTACGCCCTTAAGGAGAAAAATAGGATACACAACTCGGGCGGAGGCCTTCCCGCCCTTGAGCGCACTTTCCGCCCTTCGAGTACTTTCCGCCCTAGTGGCGTAATATACTATTATTCGCAATTTGTGTTCAATATTCGTAAATTTTTAAAAAATTTTACAAACATGTAACTTTAATGATTTATAATAAAAAACTAATTAAAATCCCACAAATAAGGTTTGACTTGTAATGTAGAAAAGTTTGACTAATTCCTCATTTCGTAGTTTATAACTGAGAAATAGTAGTTTTCCTACGAGTTTGAAAAGTCTTTGTTTGCGAACCGAGAGGTTTGCGGCCCGAGCCGAAGGCGAGGGACGTAACGAGGTTCGTAAAGGAGACTTTTCGAACGAGTATCGGAAAACTGCTTTTTTGCCCGAGGAAGTACCAGCCTCCCAAAATCACCCGAGGGCGGAAAAAACTTTTTTTTTTGAACAATCATTTGGTATTTTTGCAGTCCCCCGCACAACCTTTCTTGCGAATCATCAACTTATTTACTGTTTTCCTCACACTTATTACGAAAAATCTTGTACGCAACTCGTGATAGACTCACACTCGTGGCTGGTGACGGTAACTCGTGTCTTGCGATCACACTTGTACTACGGACTCTTCTGCTCAACTGGCACTCGTTTCCGTCAACTCCAGCCACTTGTGCGAGTCAATCACGACTCGTGTGGGAAATCGTCTCTTCCGCACTTGTTACGTAAATAACTATTCTTTGGAGTTTTTTCGCACCGTTACTATCTTTTCAAGTTAAAATTATACTATTTTTGATATTAGAAGTGAGCACTAGTGCTAATGCATACAGAATTCGCATATCTTGGAATTAGTCGTTACGTTGCATAATATGAATATCCCAATTATCGCTCACTCAAGCAGACGAAATGACCTAGTTATCGATCGCTTTATTTTTCTTTTTATAGGCCTCGGATATATTTTCAATAAATAACAAGGTAGATTTGTACCAAACAAACGATTTTTCAGTGCCCCAATAACAATTCATTTATGATTGAAAAAATATATATTAAGAAATAAAGAAAAATGATCGATTGTTGGGGCATTCACCTTATGTGATTTTTTTTTGCAATTTTGTTGTAAAAAAGAGTTTTTACTCGTCAAAGTCTCGTATGCCATTGAAAGCGCACACATTAATTTTCATAATAAATTTACTTCATCAATTACAAAAATATACATCTACCTAAACAGCTTTTCTGGTACTGACAGTTCACGGAGGGTCAGTAAGTATACCAAAAGAGGTTCATGACAGACAAACGACCCCGGAAGCTAAGTATTAAAGAAGCTAGCAAGTTGAAGCAGAGAAGGAGCGAGGCTCCACAAGTGGTGATAAACGAGAGACCAAACCAAATTTGCTTTGCTG